TTGCGGCTGCACCGGGACCGCACACTAAGGGGGCCCACCGGGTGGCCCATACCTTTAGGGCCACCCAGTGAGCATGTTCCAGCAGGGGTCCGGTCGGCGCTGTGGCCCTTTAACAGCGCGACCGGTCCCCTTGCTTAACGGCTGCATGGGAGGAAGTGACGTCCGTGAATCACTTCCTCCCACCTCAAAGACATCGGGCCGCCAGGGAAGGAAGCCTCTTTCAAAGGTAGGAAACTGAAGAGTGTCTGTCTGTGTGTGCGTCAGTATGTATGTGTCAGTCAGTATACGTCTGTGTGTCAGTTTGTATGTCTGTGTGTTAGTTTGTATGTGTGTGTGTCAGTATGTATGTCTGTCTGTGTGTCAGTTTGTATGTCTGTCTGTGTGTCAGTTTGTATGTATGTGTGTGTGTCAGTTTATATGTCTGTCTGTGTGTCAGTTTGTATGTCTGTCTGTGTGTCAGTTTGTATGATTATGGGGATGTAGTATATGCGTCTGCATCGCAATCCCACATTAATAAACTCAACACATAGTATAACTCGTTCTGCCGATTTGTGCTACAATGTAATTACAGGACCCATCATTGTGACATGCTAAAGGAACTAAACTGGCTGTCGCTGGAATCCCGACGCACCCTTCATCTTTCCAGCCTTGTTTTTAAGAGCTTTTCTGGGAAACTCCCACCCTACCTGAACAAAATGCTTTCCCCAGCTGTTCCCACTTTATATAAGCTCCGATCCAGTACAAGCACTTTACTTAGTCTACCTCAATACAAAAAGAAAGCGGCCCGATCCTCCTTCTCCTAAAGAGCGCCGCAATTGTGGAACGACCTCCCGCACAATTTAAAATCTTCCCTAAGCCTAAAGTCATTTAAGAGATCCCTCTCTACATACCTCAAAACAGAATGCACGTGTCATGGTTGATTATATATTTCCTGCCTGTTCTATGTTAAATTTTGTATATATTGTGTATTAATATTGTTTTTGTATTTTATTGTACCTAATGTAACAATGCAATGATTTGTGGACCCAGGACATACTTGAAAACGAGAGAAATCTCAATGTATCTTTCCTGGTAAAATATTTTATAAATAAATAAATAAATGTCTGTCTGTGTGTCAGTTTGTATGTCTGTGTGTGTGTCAGTATGTATGTATGTCTTTGTGTGTGTCAGTATGTATGTGTCAGTCAGTATATGTCTGTGTGTCAGTTTGTATGTCTGTGTGTGTCAGTATGTATGTATGTGTGTATGTCAGTATGTCTGTGTGTGTCAGTTTGTGTGTCTGTATGTATGTGAGTGTGCCAGTCAGTATGTCTGTGTATGTGTCAGTATGTATGTCTGTCACAGTGTCAGTATGTCTGTCACAGTGTCTGTGTGTGTGTGTGTGTGTGTGTGTATCTGTATGTTGTCAGTATGTATGTATCTGTGTGCCAGTGTGTATACCTGTGCATGTATCTGTATGTAGCCAATGTGTGTATCTGCATGTGTGTCAGTGTTTGTATCTGCATTTGTCAGGTTATGTATCTGTGTGTCTGTATGTTGTCAGTGTATCTGCGTGCGTGTGCGTGTGTGCATCTGTGTGTCTGCATGTGTGCCAGGTTGTGTGTCTGTATGTGTGTGTGTCAGTGTGTGTAAATGTGTCTGTATAGCTGCATCTGTATGATTGTGTATATCTGTGTATCTGCAAGTGTTTCTGTGTGTGTATGTGTATCACAGTGTGTGTGTGTGTGTGTGTGTTTGTGACAGTGCATGTGTATTTGTGCATACATCTCAGCATTCAACACTACACACAAATACACACCTGCATTCAAACTTCAACACCTCTTTTTTTAAACAACAAAATTATATATAAACACACCAGTGTGTTCATAAACCAACACTACACATAAATGCATACTTGCATTTAAATGCCATCTCCACATACAAACACACACCTACATTCACACAAACATACTCCATACAAAAACATGCTTACACTCAAACACACAAATACTGCTCTGTGCTAAATATAACCCTGCATGCATGGGAAAATGGTAGCGCCCCAGCTGTCAAAGCATTGTTGGAGTTGCATGACAGATGGGGATCTACCTTTTGCCCCCTCTTGCCCAAAATAATTCATGCACCAGAGCCCTCTCTACTTTACGTCCGCCTCTGCGTTGGGGTGGGGGGCATGATTGCATGCCAGGGAGGGGACGACCGGGTTCAGGGGGCCCAAGCAAATGTTTGCCCAGGGTCCAATCCATATTAAAGATGGCCCTGAACATATGCCTCAATTATTATTATTATTATTGCCATTTACGTAGTGCCAACAGATTCCGTAGCGTTTCACAAAATTATGAGAGGGGGGATGTAACTATAAATAGGACAATTACAAGAAAACTTACAGGAAAAATAGATTGAAGAGGACCCTGCTCAAACGAGCTTACAGTCTATAGGAGGTGGGGTGTAAGACACATTAGGACAGGAAATAGCAATCAAATAAGGTGGGAGTGAAGCAGAGCTGGAGGAGAGAGTAAAGTGCTGCTCTATAGGAGAGAGCAAGAGACAGGTATGTGAGGTAGAGATTACTCTGGGTGGCCATAAGCTTTCCTAAAGAGATGGGTTTTAAGGCACTTTTTAAACGATTGAATACTAGGGGAGATTCTGATGGTGGTACGCAGGCTATTCCGTAGGAAGGGAGCCGCCCGCGAGAAGTCCTGTAAGCGCGAGTTGACCGTACGGGTGCGAACAGCGGTCAGGAGGTGGTCACAGGCATAGCGGAGGGAACGAAGAGGTGCATACCTATGGATCTGTGAAGAGATATAAGGGGGGCTAGAATTGTTCAGTGCTTTATATCAGTGGTGTATCCTGGTTTTGTGCTGCCCTAGGCAGGACAAAACTCAGGCACCCCCCTCCCCCGCGCCACCCCCACTCAACCCTTCCCTCCGCCCCACCTTCTAAATACACACACACACACACACACACAGTCAGACACATACACACACACACACAGTCAGACACATACACACACACACACACTCACACAGTCAGACACAAACACAGTCAGACACAAACACACACAGTCAGACACAAACACACACAGTCATACACACACACACAGTCAGACACAAACACACACACAGTCATACACACACATACACAGACACAGTCAGGCACAAACACACACAGTCACACACACACACAGTCAGACACAAACACACACACACAGTCAGACACATACACACACACATACACAGTCACACACAGACACAAACACACACACAGTCAGACACAAACACACACACACACAGTCAGACACACAACACACAAACAAACACACACACACACACACAGTCAGACACACACACAGATTAACTTTTTTTTTAAATTTAAATCCCCCCCCCCAACCTCCTTACCTTTGGGAGTGCTGGGGGGGGGAGGTCTCTCTCTCCCTGGTGGTCCAGTGGCTGCCGGGCGGGCGGGCGAGGGAGCACTTCCTATGAGCTGTCTGCTCAGCTCCCTCGCGCGCCGGCTGCAGAGTGAGACTGGGAGCCGGAAGATGACGTCATCTTCCGGCTCCCAGCCTCACTGTGCGGCGCGCGAGGGAGCTGAGCAGTCAGCTCTGGGGAAGTGCTCCCTCGCCGGCCGCCCGCCCGCCTGCCTGGGATGTCAGTTAGCCGCAAGGCTAACTAGGCATTTGCCCTGGGCATTTGGGGGGCGGCGTTTTTTGCCGCCCCCCTGAAAAATGCCGCCCAAGGCAAATGCCTTGTTTGCCTCGCGGCTAATACGTCCCTGCTTTATATGTATGGGTTAGTACTTTGAATTGACTCCTGTAGGATACACGGAGCCAATGTACGGACTGACAAAGGGGTGAGGTGTGAGAGGACCAACTAGAGAGGAAAATCGGTCTGGCGGCAGCATTCATTACAGACTGTAGCGGGGCAATACAGCTTTTGGGAAGACCAATCAGGAGAGGGTTATAGTAATCCATGCGGGAAATTACTAGAGCATGGACAAGGTCCTTGGTAGCACCTTGCATAAGAAAGGGTCGCGGATGTGGGCTATGTTTTTAAGATGGAATCTACAGGATTTGGCAACATACTGGATGTGAGGCTCAAAGGTGAGGCCAGAGTCAAGTATGACACCAAGACAGCGTGCTTGCAAGGATGGACTGATGTGGATACCACTTACTTGAAGGGAGAGTGAGAGAGGAGGATCAGTATTAGGAGGAGGAAAGACAAGGAGTTCAGTTTTGGAGAGATTGAGTTTCAGAAAGCGGCTAAGTGGAAAAAAACATGCCCCCTTCTCTGAAAGAAGTCTTGGAACAAGTAGACAATAGAAACATTGAAAGCGACGGCAGATAAAAATCATTCGGCCCATCTAGTCTGCCCAATTTTCTAAATACTTTCATTAGTCACTGGCCTTATCTTATAGTTAGGATAGCCTTATGCCTATCCCACGCATTCTTAAACTCCTTTACTGTGTTAACCTCTACCACTTCGGCTGGAAGGCTATTCCATGCATCCACTACCTTCTCAGTAAAGTAATACTTCCTGATATTATTTTTAAACCTTGGCCCCTCTAATTTAAGACTATGTCCTCTTGTTGTGGTAGTTTTTCTTCTTTTAAATATAGTCTCCTCCATTACTGTGTTGATTCCCTTTATGTATTTAAATGTTTCTATCATATCCCCCCTGTCTCGTCTTTCCACCAAGCTATACATGTTAAGATCCTT